TCAAAAGGCTGTGGCTGGTTTCCATAGCAACCATTTTGAGTAAAACTCTAGAAATTCAATTTCTCTTCTTGAGTGCAATAGCACACAATTGATCTTTCTTCACCATATTTAAACAAACTTTTTGGTCCATTTGAGGGTACCATTCCACCTTAATTACAATCTCAGGTTTCGGTTTTTTTCGCTCTCACCCACCCGCTAAAACCCGCTTGGGAAGTTTTGTACGCAGAGGCTCCGCCCGTACCCTTTTATAAAACATTTTTGATAGAGAACGGTAACCCATTCATATAAATTCCATAGGAAACGTTAAACCTTTTATACACTTAGAGTAGAAAAATTCTGCATTCCTTCTCCAACTTTTTTCCAACTCAGCCGTTAGGTTAGTCTACGTTTTTCGACGGCGCGAAACATAAGCTGGAAACCCGTCCGCGTTCACAGGCTACACTTACATAAATATAAATGGCATATTATCCTGTCTTCATGTACACTTCAACTCGTGACACCCTCATCCTCACTGAAACAATCCACCTCGCCAACGCTTTCCTGGGGCCCGTTTCTCGAAAGTNAATATAAATGGCATATTATCCTGTCTTCATGTACACTTCAACTCGTGACACCCTCATCCTCACTGAAACAATCCACCTCGCCAACGCTTTCCTGGGGCCCGTTTCTCGAAAGTCCCGGAAACATTTCGGGCCCGGAAAGCCATAGCAAAATCTCGAACCTTACGATTACAGCGCTGTTTTATTCACAAATTCTTAATATGAACAGAGGTTCCCTTCATACAAGAAGTTTCAGGCGTATACACTACTCCGTTTGTAGACACAGATGAACTAAAAATGGCCTTACGGGCCCGAAAAGTTTCCGGGGCTTTCGAGAAACGGGCCCCTGCTTTCCTTTTCCAGAAATGGTTTGACACCTTTCTGTGGCAGCGGTACATTCTTTGGACTTCAGCAAGCCTTTTTCCATCGCGTGCGCTTCCGAAATAGTTTTAGCCTGTTCCCATGTTATTTTTTAACACGGCCTCATCATTATACAAGGCGTTATGACTATCGAGCACAATTGCATTCAAGCATCTCGGGTACAAAGCTCTCAGGTACAAAGCCTTACACTCAGAACATTTTTTCCCGAGATCAAATATTTCAACACTTGTAAAAAACAAAACTCATTGGTAGCTATTTCCAGCAACCATTAGAATCAGCTGACCGAAAATTCGGTTGGAGGGATCTGTGCCTTTTTTTAGTGTCTTCCTCTCACATTCGACCCGAAATCTTTCAAATCTATGACATACAGAGACCCATGAAGTGTATGATTGGCAGCTTCCAGCGCGCAAAAATTTAAACTCCGTGTGGTGTCGTACCCAGATCTTTTCAACTCTTTTGCGAAAAGATCTAAGCCGAGTACGTTAAGGATGTCTTTCTAAGCCCGAGACATAAGCCACTAACATGAACACTCGTAGAAATTGTCACGCCAGTAGGATGTCACGCCAACCAGGATGTCACACCAGTAGGATGCCACGAGAGCAATGTTGCTTAGCAACTTTGGCAACGATCTCTGCGTAGCTATCAGTTATCAGGGAGCTCAAGGAACGACGACGACGATGCCCAGGAAGACGGCTAGTAAAACATGAATTTATATTTTACCAGCGAAATTCGCAACTGTCTAGATCTGTTTAGTACGCCAATGGCTCTACAAACAATCAGGTAAAAAAGGTAAAGTCTGCATACAAGCCAAGTAGCCCATCAGGCCAGAGCTTATCCCGGTTTAAGTAGCGTGAAGCGACTAGGAGTGTTTCACTCCAAAAAGCTTACTTTTTTGTCTCTATCTTTAGCGGGTAAACATTGGTTTTTTCCACTCACTGAAGTCTCAGCCTCTAAAGTGCGAATGGAGACGAATTTCATTGATAAGAAAAACCTAGAGGCTGAAACTTCGGTGAGTGGCTAAACGAATAATTAGTGCGAGTTTTTTAAATGAATGTCGCCAAAAAACCGTCTCCTTTTAAGCTCCTTATTTCCAGATCTCGGACCTTGGAATAAGACTGAGTTGTTCATAAAACTAAGTACCAGCTGGTACCAGCATAATCCCGGCATACTGAACAGAATTACTCCTTCTTCTGGTTTCTTTCTTTTCCGAGGAATGTTTTTTAACACACTTTATTTACAATTTTATAATACTTTACTTACTCACATCACTAGCATTACTTTCAATGTACTATAAGTAGAAACATTGTTTACAATACGAACGCTACTTACAGTACTAACATTACTCACTAATTAACAATACTGTGTTATCTTCTGGTTTCTTGTTCTGGACGAGACCTTGCTACAACTTACTCTCGTGTCGTGTTCGTCCGGTAGCACCCCACGCGGTTTTATTGAGCTAATAAATCAAAATGTTTTTAAAAACCCAAGAATAAAATTATGATGACACTGATATGTATTATGACCGCGCATCATGACCAGCATTTATATACACTGGTGTAACTTAATTGACTAATTAAACCCAAACTTGATTTTTTTTTTATTTGCCATTCGAAAAGCACTACAATACTGTAACGTTCTTCATAACGTCCAAAAAGTTCTTCATTTAAGAAATGGAAAATAATGTTTGTGTTTCTATCGGATTATAAAAAAGGTTTTGGAAGAGGGAAAAATGCTCTCGGAACACTATGGTCGGATCACTCCGCGGGCTAGTTTTGAGCGAAGGTAAATCTCTTTGCTCGCGTCATTGTCAGGTGAACATTAACAGGCTAATTGGTTCTGTGTTTATAGAGTTACTAGTGATGATACGACTTTTAGCGAAAGCAATCTTACATACTGTTTTTGTTTTTTTGAAGGCTTTTAATCCTTCTGAACTAGATTCTGTGCTACATATACACTTTTAATCACAGATTGTTTGTCAGATTAGTTCAGATTATTTTTAAAGATCTATAAAATTACTATGATTCTCTCCGTTGTTGTTTTTTTTTTATCCTTAGATCATTTCTCCAATAGTTTGTAAATCATCTCGTAAATTCGCGTTTTCAAAGTTCTTCCTCTGCTTTTTGCAAAGGCACCTTTTCTTGGGGACAGAGTATCTGATGCTTTCAATCCTGGACATGATCAATGATCTCTTCCATCGTTGGTCTCGCTTCAGGGTCCTTTTCAATACAGCGTTTTATGAGGTCTCGCAACACTTGATTCGTTACCTGTGCTACTCGTTCCTCGCGCCTTTCTGGTTCTGGCATTGTCCCGAGGCACATTTCACAGAGAAGAACACCAAAACTGAATACATCCATCTGTTGACAAGGGATTATAATCATCAGTTAAAAACAACTATTAGGTAATTGTTAGCGTAGAGTTGGTCACAGTTCCATCTTGAGTAGCTAAGAGTTTTTGGGATGACATTTGATTCTCGTACTGTCTCTCTCCACCCAGAAAATAGAATCAAAAATATTTGGGAGAGAGGGATCTGTATGAGGAATGATGGGTATTAATATTTATTGCAGATATATATCTTATTGACCAAGCGCGAGGGCCGTACTGGTAGAATAACAGCCCGAGATCTTGACATTACGAACCGAGCGCAACGAGGTCGGTACAAAAAGGACTGATGGCAGATATTCTCCCAGCACAGTCCCAAGCAAGCTCGGTTAATAAGGGATTTATTACACTACTACGAAAATCGCAGTGGAGCAATCTGATTGGTCGATCCTAGCTATTGGCCCCCTGACCCAACTTAGTCGTGTAACAAGTCGCAGTTATTACACCATGGTATTTTACACTCGTTTTTTTGAGAGTGAGATTGGACACCAGCTTGTAAGGGAACCTCAGGCTGCCACTATCGGTTCATTTGTCAACTCACCCACCCAACCCATATTAAACAAGAAAAAATGTCATGAAGCCGTGAAAACGTGAACTCTGTGTCCTATTCTTATCAAGCAGTGCTTTGGGTATGTGAACGCAAGGTCAACAGCTTAACGTTCTTGCCCTAGAGAAACGAAACAGGTTTAGCCCGGAATCAGTTAACGGAAGGAACTGCATCATCAATGGGAGCACGCAATGGTAACCCTTTCCAAATTTTTTGTTGAGCATAGTAACCTGCATTGCAGTCGTTCAAAGGAGAGAGAGAGGCATGCAAGTAGAATTCGAGCACAAAGAGAGAGGGGAAAGGGAACGCCTCCATTCACGCCTTTCTCCCCCCCTCCCCTAACCGCTTCCTTGCACTCCCCTATCGCGCTTCACGCTTGATGGACCTCCTTCTTTCTCTCTCTACGTTGAACGCCTGCCACGCAAGCTAAGGATACTGGGTGGCTGTCCGCACACTAAGATACATCGGGGGCTAAACATCTTCCGCACAGGGGCAAACATTGAGTGCCTATGCAATAAGAGACGTCTCTCTGCTCATACAAGAAAAGAGTAAGTAGTAAATCAACTTCACCTTCACTGTTTGATTCTCGGTGCCTGCTTCAGGTGGACTGTAAATCGTTGCTCCTGGGCGTTTTGTCTTGCTCTTGTGTAAGAAATTAGCAGCACCATAATCAGACACTTTGCCTCTCCATTGGTCACCATGTCGCCATAGCAACACATTAGCACTACTGATGTCCCGATGAATAATGGGAGGCGCACTTTGGTGCAGGTAATTGAGTGCTTGAGCTATATCCAGGGAGATAACAGAGATATCTGTGTGAGAGAGAGGTTGCTTCTCTAACTCTTTTCGTAAGGTTGATTCCATGAGCTCTGTTACAAACAGAGGACTTTCTTGGTCATCTGTTGCGCCAATGAACTGCAACAAACAAGGATGACGACATCTTGCAGCAATATTCATTTCCCGTTCAAACAAACCTTTATTATGAGGAGAGAGAATCAACTCGTGCACTTGTTTCACAGCCACTTTGCAGCGTCTAAATCTTCCCAATGCAACTGTTCCCCATCCACCATCTCCCAGGACATAGCCTGTCATCTTAATTTCATCGCGGGAAATGACCCAGTCACGCTTCTTGCTTATCGCTTGTTCCAGATCAGCAACTTGTTGGTCTCTCCCTGCCAGTTCTCCTTTCAGATCAGTAACTTGTTTGTTGCTCTCTGCCAGTTGTCCTTTCAGATCAGCAACTTGTTGGTCTCTCCCTGCCAGTTCTCCTTTCAGATCAGTAACTTGTTTGTTGCTCTCTGCCAGTTGTCCTTTCAGATCAGCAACTTGTTGGTCTCTCCCTGCCAGTTCTCCTTTCAGATCAGTAACTTGTTTGTTGCTCTCTGCCAGTTGTCCTTTCAGATCAGCAACTTGTTGGTCTCTCCCTGCCAGTTCTCCTTTCAGATCAGTAACTTGTTTGTTGCTCTCTGCCAGTTGTCCTTTCAGATCAGCAACTTGTTGGTCTCTCCCTGCCAGTTCTCCTTTCAGATCAGTAACTTGTTTGTTGCTCTCTGCCAGTTGTCCTTTCAGATCAGCAACTTGTTGGTCTCTCCCTGCCAGTTCTCCTTTCAGATCAGTAACTTGTTTGTTGCTCTCTGCCAGTTGTCCTTTCAGATCAGCAACTTGTTGGTCTCTCCCTGCCAGTTCTCCTTTCAGATCAGTAACTTGTTTGTTGCTCTCTGCCAGTTGTCCTTTCAGATCAGCAACTTGTTGGTCTCTCCCTGCCAGTTCTCCTTTCAGATCAGTAACTTGTTTGTTGCTCTCTGCCAGTTGTCCTTTCAGATCAGCAACTTGTTGGTCTCTCCCTGCCAGTTCTCCTTTCAGATCAGTAACTTGTTTGTTGCTCTCTGCCAGTTGTCCTTTCAGATCAGCAACTTGTTGGTCTCTCCCTGCCAGTTCTCCTTTCAGATCAGTAACTTGTTTGTTGCTCTCTGCCAGTTGTCCTTTCAGATCAGCAACTTGTTGGTCTCTCCCTGCCAGTTCTCCTTTCAGATCAGTAACTTGTTTGTTGCTCTCTGCCAGTTGTCCTTTCAGATCAGCAACTTGTTGGTCTCTCCCTGCCAGTTCTCCTTTCAGATCAGTAACTTGTTTGTTGCTCTCTGCCAGTTGTCCTTTCAGATCAGCAACTTGTTGGTCTCTCCCTGCCAGTTCTCCTTTCAGATCAGTAACTTGTTTGTTGCTCTCTGCCAGTTGTCCTTTCAGATCAGCAACTTGTTGGTCTCTCCCTGCCAGTTCTCCTTTCAGATCAGTAACTTGTTTGTTGCTCTCTGCCAGTTGTCCTTTCAGATCAGCAACTTGTTGGTCTCTCCCTGCCAGTTCTCCTTTCAGATCAGTAACTTGTTTGTTGCTCTCTGCCAGTTGTCCTTTCAGATCAGCAACTTGTTGGTCTCTCCCTGCCAGTTCTCCTTTCAGATCAGTAACTTGTTTGTTGCTCTCTGCCAGTTGTCCTTTCAGATCAGCAACTTGTTGGTCTCTCCCTGCCAGTTCTCCTTTCAGATCAGTAACTTGTTTGTTGCTCTCTGCCAGTTGTCCTTTCAGATCAGCAACTTGTTGGTCTCTCCCTGCCAGTTCTCCTTTCAGATCAGTAACTTGTTTGTTGCTCTCTGCCAGTTGTCCTTTCAGATCAGCAACTTGTTGGTCTCTCCCTGCCAGTTCTCCTTTCAGATCAGTAACTTGTTTGTTGCTCTCTGCCAGTTGTCCTTTCAGATCAGCAACTTGTTGGTCTCTCCCTGCCAGTTCTCCTTTCAGATCAGTAACTTGTTTGTTGCTCTCTGCCAGTTGTCCTTTCAGATCAGCAACTTGTTGGTCTCTCCCTGCCAGTTCTCCTTTCAGATCAGTAACTTGTTTGTTGCTCTCTGCCAGTTGTCCTTTCAGATCAGCAACTTGTTGGTCTCTCCCTGCCAGTTCTCCTTTCAGATCAGTAACTTGTTTGTTGCTCTCTGCCAGTTGTCCTTTCAGATCAGCAACTTGTTGGTCTCTCCCTGCCAGTTCTCCTTTCAGATCAGTAACTTGTTTGTTGCTCTCTGCCAGTTGTCCTTTCAGATCAGCAACTTGTTGGTCTCTCCCTGCCAGTTCTCCTTTCAGATCAGTAACTTGTTTGTTGCTCTCTGCCAGTTGTCCTTTCAGATCAGCAACTTGTTGGTCTCTCCCTGCCAGTTCTCCTTTCAGATCAGTAACTTGTTTGTTGCTCTCTGCCAGTTGTCCTTTCAGATCAGCAACTTGTTGGTCTCTCCCTGCCAGTTCTCCTTTCAGATCAGTAACTTGTTTGTTGCTCTCTGCCAGTTGTCCTTTCAGATCAGCAACTTGTTGGTCTCTCCCTGCCAGTTCTCCTTTCAGATCAGTAACTTGTTTGTTGCTCTCTGCCAGTTGTCCTTTCAGATCAGCAACTTGTTGGTCTCTCCCTGCCAGTTCTCCTTTCAGATCAGTAACTTGTTTGTTGCTCTCTGCCAGTTGTCCTTTCAGATCAGCAACTTGTTGGTCTCTCCCTGCCAGTTCTCCTTTCAGATCAGTAACTTGTTTGTTGCTCTCTGCCAGTTGTCCTTTCAGATCAGCAACTTGTTGGTCTCTCCCTGCCAGTTCTCCTTTCAGATCAGTAACTTGTTTGTTGCTCTCTGCCAGTTGTCCTTTCAGATCAGCAACTTGTTGGTCTCTCCCTGCCAGTTCTCCTTTCAGATCAGTAACTTGTTTGTTGCTCTCTGCCAGTTGTCCTTTCAGATCAGCAACTTGTTGGTCTCTCCCTGCCAGTTCTCCTTTCAGATCAGTAACTTGTTTGTTGCTCTCTGCCAGTTGTCCTTTCAGATCAGCAACTTGTTGGTCTCTCCCTGCCAGTTCTCCTTTCAGATCAGTAACTTGTTTGTTGCTCTCTGCCAGTTGTCCTTTCAGATCAGCAACTTGTTGGTCTCTCCCTGCCAGTTCTCCTTTCAGATCAGTAACTTGTTTGTTGCTCTCTGCCAGTTGTCCTTTCAGATCAGCAACTTGTTGGTCTCTCCCTGCCAGTTCTCCTTTCAGATCAGTAACTTGTTTGTTGCTCTCTGCCAGTTGTCCTTTCAGATCAGCAACTTGTTGGTCTCTCCCTGCCAGTTCTCCTTTCAGATCAGTAACTTGTTTGTTGCTCTCTGCCAGTTGTCCTTTCAGATCAGCAACTTGTTGGTCTCTCCCTGCCAGTTCTCCTTTCAGATCAGTAACTTGTTTGTTGCTCTCTGCCAGTTGTCCTTTCAGATCAGCAACTTGTTGGTCTCTCCCTGCCAGTTCTCCTTTCAGATCAGTAACTTGTTTGTTGCTCTCTGCCAGTTGTCCTTTCAGATCAGCAACTTGTTGGTCTCTCCCTGCCAGTTCTCCTTTCAGATCAGTAACTTGTTTGTTGCTCTCTGCCAGTTGTCCTTTCAGATCAGCAACTTGTTGGTCTCTCCCTGCCAGTTCTCCTTTCAGATCAGTAACTTGTTTGTTGCTCTCTGCCAGTTGTCCTTTCAGATCAGCAACTTGTTGGTCTCTCCCTGCCAGTTCTCCTTTCAGATCAGTAACTTGTTTGTTGCTCTCTGCCAGTTGTCCTTTCAGATCAGCAACTTGTTGGTCTCTCCCTGCCAGTTCTCCTTTCAGATCAGTAACTTGTTTGTTGCTCTCTGCCAGTTGTCCTTTCAGATCAGCAACTTGTTGGTCTCTCCCTGCCAGTTCTCCTTTCAGATCAGTAACTTGTTTGTTGCTCTCTGCCAGTTGTCCTTTCAGATCAGCAACTTGTTGGTCTCTCCCTGCCAGTTCTCCTTTCAGATCAGTAACTTGTTTGTTGCTCTCTGCCAGTTGTCCTTTCAGATCAGCAACTTGTTGGTCTCTCCCTGCCAGTTATCCTTTCAGATCAGTAACTTGTTTGTTGCTCGCTTTCAGTTGTCCTTTCAGATCAGTAACTTGTTTGTTGCTCGCTTTCAGTTGTCCTATCAGATCAGTAACTTGTTTGTTGCTCGCTTTCAGTTGTCCTTTCAGATCAGTAACTTGTTTGTTGCTCTTTGCCAGTTGTCCTTTCAGATTAGCAACTTCTTGGCCTCTCGCTGCCACGTCTCCTTTCAGATCAGTAACTTGGTTCTCGTTCGTTCCCAGTTGTCTTCTCAGATCAGTAGCGTGCTCATCTCTCGTTGCCAGTTGTTTTTGCAGAGAAGTAAGTTGAGCTTCGCTAGTTTCCAGTTGTTGCCCTTTCTCTTGTAATTGTTTAGTGAGTTGCTCAATCAGGTGTATACTCTCTTTGTTGGCTTCTGATATTTTGTTGGCTTTTTTTAAATCTTGTTTTTCTTGCTGTAACTCAGTAACTAAGCTTTGCATCTCTTGTTTTTCACGATTTTCAAGAAGTTGAAGACGCCCCTCTAAGTTTGCTTTGTCCCTTTCTAAGTTAATAATTTGCTGTTCTTTCTCTTGCATTTTTTGCTCTGTTTTCTCTTGCATCTCTTGTTTTTCACGATTTTCAAGAAGTTGAAGACGCCCCTCTAAGTTTGCTTTGTCCCTTTCTAAGTTACTAATTTGCTGTTCTTTCTCTTGCATTTTTTGCTTTGTTTCATTTAATGAATCAGTTAGGTCATTAATTCTAAGTTCTTGTGTACTTAATTCCCTTTTGTTCCCCTCTATCTCTCTATCTTTAGCGATTGACATTTCATCCAGGTCATTTTTTTGTTGCTGCAGGGCGCAATTTGTTGCTCCAGCAGCGCTGTCCTCTCTTCGATCTGTTGTCTTTGGTTGTTAGTCAGTATCTGTCCCATACTCTTTTCACTATTTGGCGTAAACTGCTTACTTGTCTAACACTCTTACTACAGTACTCCTCCGATTTCGCCTTCTTTTTTTTTTTCTTCCTCTTCTTCTTCTTCTTTTTCTTCTTCTTCTTCTTCTCCTTATCTTCTTCTTCTTCTTTTACTTCTTTTTCTGCTTCTTATAATTATGTAAGTGTTAAAGCTTTGACCAGGGTAATGGATTCCTTTGCTGAGCTAAACCCTGTCACGGTGAAAAAAATAAGAATCCGCTCATATGGGTATTTATGCGGTGTCAAGCCTCGAGATCTGATTCCTCAGTTTAGAAAGACTAAGATAATTCCAAGTGTTTTATCTCCATCGAAACTAACTTCTTGTTATTATTAAAACGATACTTTTTGTTCGCAATTTCCGAGATACCAAAAAGATTGCAAAAAACTGAAAGGACTCCAAAAGAAAGTTACATAGCATTGGTCTGCGAGCTACAATTTTTTTTTTCTTGCAAGGACAATTTTAAACCGTCTCTTCGTGTTGATACTCTCGAGCTCTTCCTCCTAATTGTACAGCAGCAAAAATTTATGTCGTAAATGGTAACCTTTGTAGTATAACGTTGTGGTTTTGTTTTGTTTGGGTTCTGTTCAATGTCATTGTAAACTAATTAGTGAGACAATCTCAGTTAGGGCAGAGTGCAATGCATAGCTCTGACACAGTAGTCACAACACAGTTCCTGACCCTTGCCCTTCACCTCCGGTTTGTACCGAAATTTAAGAAGCCTCGTACGGGCGGGAAAATTCGCAAATTCACGGAGGATCCGAACGCTCACCAAGGATATTCCGTAATTTTTGGTTCCAGACCTCACACTAGCAGACCGCGTATTAAAAATTCAAAATGACTGCCACAAAACACAAAGGTAGGTTGATCCTAAACGGATGTGAGGGCTCCCTTTGTAAGACATAATCTTAGCAGTGTGTATGTTTAAATTGTGTATATTTTCATTCAAGGTCGAAAAATATTGCTTACAATTACCATTTATCAATTACCAATTTTAAAGTGCACTGTCTCGAATAGATAGTTCTATAAGCAGCAATAGCCAAATATCAGCAACACAATAATTCCCTATGTGAAAAGTTTACAGTGGAAACAGTTAAATTTCATTAGCTTTCATTGGCTTTTCTATTTAATTCGATTACACTTGTTGACTTTCAACCAACAACAAATAATTCCGTCTATACCTAGCCAAAGTTCAAATTATGTGAAATCGATAGGAGACAGCTCTCTAGCCGTAAAACTGCAACCCAATAACTCTCTGTTTACTGAAAAGTCTTTAAAAAAAGTCTTAACCGAGCGATAAATAGATCATGTCTATAGCTAATTCGCATCACTTCCAAATTTGATCAGCGCAGCTTCGTTAACATTAAGTGTCTACGTGATTGGAAGCGCTTCGAACAGTACATCGTACTTTATGAATTCTTTGCAAATCTTTGCGGCTATGACCACGAAAAGACCTAGCTCTTTTTGCCTATATGTGCAAGACAGCTTTACTGCATAAAACATCAAATGCTGCGAATTTTTTTCAAGAAGTCGGCAGAGTGGGAGCATGGTTCTGGTTACCCAAACGAAAAAGAAACCACGAGCGATGCAAGAACCGCGCCCAACCCATGGTCGCGCGGTTAATGATATGTTGAAGTAGCGGCAAACGTGGCAATTTTACTTTTCACTCCAACGTGCGATACATGAGGTGTAAGAATAATTTGTGTCATGACACATGTCAAACTATGTTTATAAAATTGACTGCAAAATCGGTGGTCTAAAAATGGCGCAATTGGCCAAGATGCCCTTCATAGTTCGTCTGGCGCGCTTAATTTTCACGGGCCAAAGTAACCATTTAGATACGGTATGCCCATAGCATAGGTCTTTTTTCAGAGCCTCTAATTCTTGGCTTGCACTGCCACCCAATGGAAAAAATAATTCAAAACCTATTCAGTGGATAAAGTCAAGAAATTGTAATGTTATAGGAGATTGATAAAGAAGACGCTTCTTCAAGTTTTAAGTATGTGCGTTTTCTCAAACTTCAGATATTTGTCGAAATATTTTGTACAAATTTACAGAGCCCAGTATGGAGCCGCCATGTTGGTGTACCTCCGTTATACATCAACATGGCGGCCGGAGAATAATGAAAACATCAGGAACGTACTTTAGCTATCTAGGCAACTGATTATAGGTACTGAACAAACAAGCACTTACATAAGCACTTTTCCTGATATTTTATCTTCTGAATAGGCTAAAAATAACGAGATAAGTATGTAGTTTTCGACAAAGGCGTCCGTAGCTTTATGTCACTTTACATTATTTTATTTCCTTCCTGGGATTTCGGAAACCGGAAGTGATCTAAAAATAACTTGAGAGGGATTACTGCATACATGGAGAATTAACTCTTTTACTCTTCATTCTCTCTTGACAGAGCTTGGTACGAAGGTTTGCAAGTGTACAACGACGGCGACTCAATGAAGACGAAAGAAACAAGGTATGCTCTTCTTTCACCCTTTAAGTCAGATTATTTAGGAACAAAACACCAGCGAGATGGCCCCCTAATTTTGAATATTTCCCTAAATTTTATGGGCTTATGCATTATGCATACATAACCCAACAAGTTATTAAAATCTTGTGGGTTTGAAGACGTGATGTCACGTGATAGGGCTTTGGGAGCATGAGTGGTCTCAGAGGTAGACTGGGTACTAATATTTCGCGTAAATGTTTGCTAGTAAAGGCGGGCCATTGCTACATAATTTGTAGTGCATAGTCGTTGCTAGCGCTAGTCATATTGCGTTTTCAGCAAATTAAAGACTATTGGGTATGCAACAAAGGTGGTTGTATAATTCGATCTATCGATAGCTTTGAAAGCGGCTTTTAACCGAAACTTTGCCAAAAATAATGTGCGAGGGTTTCACTCGAGAATGTTTTTCTTCCTCCAAGAATTATTTCAAATTTCCATAATGTATCATTTTTATATAATTACTTTACTTTTATTGCTTGAACAATTTTATTTTCCTTTATAATCGCGAACTATCCCTTAGTAGGTTGGAGAAGAAGAGAAGAAGAAGAAGAAGAAGAAGAAGAAGAAGAGGAAGAAGACGAAGAAGGAGAAGGAGAAGGAGAAGAAGAAGGAGAAGGAGAAGAAGAAGGAGAAGGAGAAGAAGAAGGAGGAGAAGGAGGAGAAGGAGGAGAAGAAGGAGAAGGAGGAGAAGGAGGAGAAGGAGGAGAAGGAGGAGAAGGAGGAGAAGGAGGAGAAGGAGAAGGAGAAGGAGAAGAAGAAGGAGAAGGAGGAGAAGAAGGAGAAGAAGGAGAAGGAGGAGAAGGAGGAGGAGAAGGAGGAGAAGGAGGAGGAGGAGGAGGAGGAGAAGGAGGAGGAGAAGGAGGAGAAGGAGGAGGAGAAGGAGGAGAAGGAGGAGAAGGAGGAGGAGGAGAAGACGGAGGAGAAGGAGAAGGAGAAGAAGAAGAAGAAGAAGAAGAAGAAGAAGAAGAAGAAAAACAACAACAACAAGAAAAGAAGAACAAGAAGAAGAAGAAAAAGAAGAGCAACAAGACGAAGAAAAGGAAGAACAAGAAGAACAAGAACAGCTTACAGTTGCGAGTTTAGTTGCAGTTTTCAAGGTAAGTTACTTCCGATTTCTCAATCATTCTGTTGCATTCAATATCTAGGGTTTTTTTTTTCCTTTCATTTAACACAAGCAAACGCTGCCTTTCGGTAAATGTTTAAGAAAAGAAATAGATAAGTAAAAAGAAAAGGAAAAGCACCGGTTTCACTAGGAGTTGAACTCATAGTCTCTCGCTCACAAGGCAGATATCTCCTCCACTGCGCTACATTTGTGGAAAGAATATTGAATAAATCGATTTGTACGCAAGCGCTGGGTAGTTGAAACAGCAGGCTCAAGTACGTTCCTAGCACGAACCTCATTTATTATTATACGTCTGTCTTTCTAGTAATTGCCTACTCGTGAGACTACAATACTTCAACCCAATGAATAAAACCAGCGATAAGCCCACAAGTACGCATTGCAGACCTATTTTTATCATTTGTCAACAACTTTACAGATTGTAGACGACTTAAGAAGCGGAGACTGTGCAAAGAGTACTGAACTTAATCTGAGGGGATAAGAGATATCACTTCTATTACGGGAAACTCTCGCGAAAATTTTTTTATTGAAGGCTGGAATTTATCAGTGTAAACAAGGAGAAAATGCGAAGTTTTTAAGGGATCATGGGAACGCGTGTTTCGCCTGAAAGGGCAGTCTTTACTCACATCGGACCACGTTTTCATACTTCACTTGCATTGATTTTCACTTTATATAAAGCTGAAACGTGCACTTCAACGAGTCAATTTATAATTCAAGACGAATTTAAAAAAACCTGACGCTTTGTTTGTTATTTCTAACCTCTTATCTAACGCAAGGTCAGACATCGAATAACGGTTAAATAGATATTCCGCAAGATTCTAAGGCGAGTAAATTTGAATTTCTAACTACTGCGATCATTTCAACACGTTCAGCAAACTGAAAACACCAAGCGAAGGATCAACACATAAGGTATCTCACAAAATGTGGCCGTGTAGGAGTTGAACGGATCAAACGATTCAGTTAAAAACTACGAATTGTTTAGAATTCGAACGTAGACGACTTCCCAAAAGAAACAGATTTCCCTAGAAAATCGGTCAGCAAAGCGAGCTTATTAAAACGCGCTATGAATTACTTCAATTTGACGAAACATCCAATTTATTTTCATGTGTATGCTGTGAGATCGACCGTTTCAGGCTGGAACAAACGCTAGATACACGTAAAGCCCAAATAGTTGAAATTTGAGAGATCAGTGTCGTTTCTTTATTGCGTGTTGTTCATGGAAACGTTCATAACACTCAAATTAAAGAAGTAGATAGGCGTGGCAAATTTATTTCTCTATCTTATCAACCATTTCTTTAAACTTTCTATTTTATTAGACAAGTCATTGCCGACGTTGTTTTGCTAACAGGAACAAGACTGAATTGGCTGCTTACTGATCAGTTTCTGTTTCAAGTGACACATGCGTATTGTCATTTTAATAGCTGCTGCGACCATGCTACTCACCTTCCTTTCCCTTTGATAATGCTATTCCCGAAAGTTAATGACCGATATGCGGAAACTGTTCTACTTCTCCGTCGGAAAGTTGCGTTTTCTTCTACTTTGGCCAATTTACACCACAGTCGAATCTCACTTCTTCCGTGTCTTAGTCGAGACAACCAAGAGCCCTTGTTTGTGATACCACGGTGAAGAACATGTGACATTCTCAAGACATCAGTGCAACCTACTCTCGTCCCCAGAGACGCCTGTCTCTTTTAGCCGTTGGGCGCTTGGCACGAGGAAAAGGTGACTCTGGATTTGACTAGATTCTTAGATTTTCACTATCAACAGTGATTTCCTTTACGATAGAATGCAATGGTTAATTTCTAACTCAAACCTGTCGATCACAGTGCCTACAGATCTTTTAATTTCTGTGCTTTACTCAAAGAGTATTTAAATCAGAAGTACTGAAATACTGACCGGAGGTAAAGCCAGTTTTTAACTCCATTAAGGTCTTTTAAGCAGGTTTAGTTGGATATAACCAGTGATAATCCGATGGTTTAAAACGTCGGAAAACTCCTTCCTTATACCAGAAATGATTTCAAGCAATGCACAATTCTTTGCACAAGCCCATTTCCATCTTTCAATCAAGCGCGCCTATCAAATAGTTTTGGACCGAGGTTGATCTAGGTCAACAAAATTCAATTCATTCAATACAGATTACGGGAATATTCGTTCAAAATAAACGAGCCATTTTTTTATCCTTTCATCTGTTGATTTAGTTTAAGTTCAATCCTTCCCTTTCCTAATTTCTTAAACAAGCAGCAGCCAGGTTAAAGCTTTCCTACTTTAGCTGCTGCGCACTCATTCGGCATACTTACTTTTTTATGTTATACTTTTATCTGTATTTACTGTGTTGAAATTTTCGTATGTCTACATATTTATTTTTCCATAGACAGTTTACGATTGAATGAAGTGTCTAGTCTGGAGGAACAGGCTTTAGCAGTTTGTTTTTTGTTTGTTTTATAATTCCCCTACATTATACGTATACTACGCTTCAGGCCCATCGAGAACGGCAACATTAGACCACATTACATACAAACATCTCAGTCATAAAGGCTTACACTAAGAGCATTTCCCCCCGAGAACTCGTGGCTCAGGACCAGTCATTATAAGTTTTTATAGACACAGATCTTTTGATATGTACCGTCCCCGGATCTTCTCACTCTTCAGAGAAAAGACCTAATATAAATACCGTAGAATCTCTTCTGTGATTCACATTAATTTAACAATTAATAGTAGATTATGAGCTCGAGATCGAGTGAGAGTTGACGAGGGCGCGGTTCAAGTCAATTATCACGCATAGAAATCGAAAGCGAATAATCTAATTGTTTTAGTATAAGTCTACTGGTCGTTCAAAACTTCATCTAAATCCTCTCCACAGACACTTCAAAAATGTAAAGAAGTGGCCGTCATTTTGTTAACAACGGCACACTGCTGGGCTACTCCCAAGTTATCTACAACAGAATAGATAGTGAAGAGCGTAGTCAATCGAGAACGGCATTCGAGATAAAACGCTAGTAGACTTACAGTAAACACTGATGTAACTTTGTTGACTTGCTGAACGCAAGCGTGTTCCTTATTACTGTTATAAGGAACACAATATTGGAATTTCAGTTTTTAAAAACTTTTAAAAAGCTTTTCCTTTAAGAAATCGAAAAGCTTTTCCACATTTCTTTAAACAAGTTATAGAAAAACAAGTACAAACTTTTTGAGAACCATGCAGACATACTGTGGGGACACGTACACGGGCAAGTCTTTCCACACCTTGTTCGAGTTAAATTGCGAAGAAAACGGAAAAGAGAGGAAAATCACTCATTTGCTACGATTATCAAAATGTAAATTCTCTTTGCTCGCGTTTGTTATTACTTCAAGGCTAACATTATTAAGAAAACTTCGAGAAACAGCTTTCACTTATTGAATTATCGAATGTTTTATGAAGGCTTTTAACCTTTCTGATCTAAAGTCTACAAATTATTTGTCAGATTTTTAAACCGCTATGAAATTATTCTGTTGGTCTCTAATGTTCTTTTACATATAGATCATTCCTCGTCAATTTTGATAAATGTCTCGTTAGTTCGGCTTTTTAAAGTCCTCTGTCTTTTAGACAGTGTCTGACGCAATGAAATAGTGTCACAATGAATCGAAAAGATAGATGATCTCTTCCATAGTTGGTCTAGCCTCAGGCTCCCTCTGAATACAGCACTGTACAAGCTCTCGAAACACGTCATTCTTTACCAAGGCTACTTGCTTTTCCCGCTGTTTGGGATCCGGTAAGTCCCGGATGCACATTTCACAGAGGAGAACACCAAAACTGTACACATCCATCTGTTGATAAGGGATTATAATCAACAATAATTAATAAACAATTATTAGGTGAAGGTCACCTAATCGTTTGCGCAGTGTTGATCACAGCTCTATCTTGAGTGACCAATGCCCTTTGGAAAGACACTTGACTCTCACACTGTCTGTCTCCACCCAGAAAAAACTGCCTCTTATAAGCCCTGGACTTATACAACTTCGTAAGGGGGTTTTGGATGGGCTAAACGGGTGGGGCTAATATCGGGGCCGGGGGGG